TCTTGCTCTTCAACTGTATTTTCTTCACGGGATGACAAAAACATGTTATCTGAGATGCTCCAGATTTAAGCCCGAGTGTGGACAAGGCCTCTTATACCACAACGCCTTTGCATGGAGGCTTTCAGCAAATCTGGCTAAGAGGTTGGGTGCAGGGCCCTGAAATATAAATCACGCTTTCTAACTTTTTATCGTCATCTCATCTTTTCACGTGTCATTTGTTTTGCTCGATTCCACCGAGCGACTCGAAATCACAGCAAGCTGCCAGAGCACGTTTCGGGCGACACTCGTCTCCAATTCCCAACCAAGGAGGAGAGAGCTTTCTCGGATCTCTACCAGACAACAAGGGTAGGATGAAAAAGTAATAATACTAATATTAGGCCGAGTGGCGGGAAGAGAAAGGGGATAGATTGTGCTCTAAAAGTACCAGCCCGTGTTGTTTATTAATTCAGAACAGTGTTTCACTTTTCTCAATCTGTGTTATCAAAAATTCCACCATTGTCTTGAGTGCAATCTCGTGTAGGGGTGATAATGGCACAAGGGAAGCACAGGCAGGTATGCGGCATCAACTATTCACAAGGGAACTTGGAAAAGAGGGAGGGAGGGAACGCGGTGTCTTCCCTCACCGCCATCAACACCCCAAAACAGTCGCACGCCACATTTTAACGGTTTGTCAAAGGCGCTTTTGTTTGTTCCGCCGTGTTTCCGCCCGCCGTTGTTTTTCCGTATTGCCTCCCCTCACATCATTCTCATACTCTGGAGGCTCACAAAACAGGAGCCCTATTCCCTCGCCGCCTCCGTTTGATGACCTACATTACATTCTCTACAGCGGCAGCTTACACGTCCTGTGTGTGCATTAACTGCGGTGAACAAAAAGGGAGGAGCCGGCGTACAGGGACGGTAAAATGAAAGTGTAAGGTGGCGGGTGGAGGGATGTTGCATCGTCTAAACAAGCGTTTGTGTCGGCGTGTGTGAATAAATCCACTTGGGGCATTGTCGTTTGGGGGTTTGTCGTCGTCCCGACTCGCAGTTCCTGCGGGAAACCATCAAAGTTTGACAATGCAGGGACATGGCATGCTCTGCATCCCCGCAAAAGTCATCTAATTACAATAATAATCCCTTTTATTGCCCTCATGCAGTCAAGTCCACTTTTTGTTACTTTGCAAAGATGCTTAAATGATGTCAATGGGAGTTCTTTTAGTCATTTTAATAAGCTACTTTTGTTTCTTATTGCTCTGCACATGTCTTCAGTTGTTCTGTTTCTCAATACTTTTAGATGCGCTTTGTTGTGTGAAGCACATTGAGTTGTCTCTTGTATGAAATGTGCTGTATAAATAAAATTGCCTTGCGTTGCCCAAAAGCCGGCTCCATCTGTTTTGCTCACACAGAAGTAGTGTCAGGATATTACAACGCAGAGACAATATTATCGTAATCCAGGCCTACCCCATTTCTGTCAAATGACAAATAACGAGCAATATATAGTCGCCCAAGTCTGTGCCCGAGACGCTTGGGGGTCAGTCGTGGGAGCCTCCAACCATGGCGCATCTGTAGCTCCTTCGAAAAATCATCCCAAATTGGTTTCATCTGGCAAAATGGCGAGCGCCTTGTACGTACTTTGATCACAAGGCAGTGCGCAGGCCCCGCTAACATCATGTACTCGCTTCCACTGTATGTACGGGGAGTGCGCTCTGTAACCCAAGGAGCCTCTTTTTCGGAAAACCACATATGTTCAGCGTGGATGAAAAGTCAACTCCGTGATGTTCGTCCAACAATGCGCCCCTTTGATTATGGCTTTTCAAGCACGAGCAATTTCACCATCGAAAAAACCCCAGAGTCTGTGAAAACGTGCTGCAACTTGTGTAAGACGTCATGTGAACGTCTCGCAAAGGAAAAGAGCCATCACGCAAATTAAGCCCCTTGGTTTCTCCCCCTCTTTCCCTGCTCCAAAAACTAAAAAGTTTGGTGTTATCCCATGGAGCAGCACTAAAGCAGGAAGCCAGTTAAGCCCTATTAGGAGCCTTCGCGCTGCGACGATCTCATTGGAAGTGCTGGGTGAAAATTGCCCGGATTAATGTGTTAATCCACCTCTTTAAAATGCTAATGTCCATTTTATGCCCATTAAATCTCAGTGTGCGTTTTCTTTGATGCGTGCAATTTCTATCAATTAAACACAGAGGAATGAAACAGGCAGCAGGGAGATTAGTCGCTTTGCTTCAAGCGTGAATTTCTCCATTTGGTTTCATATTTATCTTGAATGGCGAGAGGCGGTGTGGAATGTTTGGAGTGGGTTTAGGAAATACAGAAGGAGAAATGTGGCGACATGAAGAATTCTGGAAGTCCCTCATGCCTTTCACAACAACAAACAGTAGCACTTGCTCATGTCTAATTGACTTGCCAACATTTTGTTTCATGTCTGATTTTGCAAAGGACTCAATTTTCTTGGGATGAAAATTATGTAGGCATTCATTTCACGGACATGTATGCTCAAGCAGACTTTCAAGAACGTCCAAATGAATGCTGTTAATGTAATAATAGCAAATTGATTCCATTAAGTCATCAAAGCATTCTGCTGGTATATTTTAGGTCAAAAACTAGCTTAAAGGCAAATTTAGCCACGTGATTTTGATTGTTTGTCAGTCATCTGCTCCAAATGAAAAGCCACAATTTACTTGAGCACCAGGGTGCCAACAGATGAAGCCAAAGCAATACAGTTATTGCATTCGCCTCGGAACAAAAACAGCGAATGGGTGAGTTTTCCAGCTGATATACACAAATAGCTTTAAAAAAATTGAGTGCAGTGCGAATATCTCAAAATGGACATACGACGACTTCAATGCAAACTTAAAAAGGCGATTTTGCAGCCCAAGTATGACTTTTGAGGGGCCGCTCTGTTGGCCATTGCAGATGCGGGTTAAAAAATTAGCATTATAACACATTTCATTAAGGAACAGTTATAACAGAAGTGAGAATTTGTTTTATCATGTAAAAAACTGTACGCCAGATCACAGATTAACACACACTATGATGCCAAATAACTGATATGAATCATACAGAATAGAACCTAAACGTGTGGATAAACCCGTACGGTGAAAACGTACGCCATAAATTGTGTGATGACTTGCGATGCCCTTGCCATTGTGCACAGCCTTTTTGCAGCAGGAATGGAACTGGTCCAATCGCTGAGGGCTCTGCGGCTGACCAGAAAATGCTTCCAGATTTGTCACACACACACATGCGCAAAATCATTGTTCGGCGTTAAAATGCTTCCAGTAAACTTGCATCTATCATGCAAGTGCTATTTTTGAGATACGGCGCTCGCACTGATTTATGGAGGCCTTTCGACGCCACGCGCGACTAACCCTCCATCACGAGCAAAATCAGCCGCTGTAAAAGTAAAATACACTCTTGCAAACCCAGCGAAAATGTATAAAGTCACATTTTATTCACGCTGGCGTTGTGTGACAAGTTGCAATGTGCCACGGGGAAGGGTCGAGGAAGCCTGGGAATCTATTACTATTGATTATTCAAAGTCGAGGTGAAATGGCTTGAACCAAAGGACTCCTAGGTTGCTAAGAAAACAGCGCAAATTGGTAAACAATTGTTACGCAACAAAAGACGAGCAAATCAAACTCCTTCTGTCCACCGTGAGCATATGTGGGCGATAATTTATTATGAACCGCACCTAATTTTCTGTGACATATTATATCTTTGCCTCAGTAATCATGAGCCCCATTTCATTGAGTGAATTAGGTGCTCACCGCTTGGTGCGATCACAGACCTGGAAAATGAGTGTTCACAGGCTGCTAATGGCCGGCAGATGAGGCAGACAATCATCTTTAATGTTCAGCAGCAACACAGAGCAGCCTGATATAAAACCGTGGTCGGTTATTACCGTACTATTATTCTACTAGCCTACGAACAGCTAACAGGGGCATTTTGGAAGACAAACGGTTGATTATACTGGGAAACAATTTGAACCCCTCAAAAAATCTGTTGAGTTCGATTTCCATGCCAATTCCAAAGTTCTAGGACATGAAGATTGTTCTCCACAGCTTTACCACATAAGCAAAAGTCCACTACAACTGTAGTAAGACCCAGCAGCTTCTTACTCATCGACAGCTATATGGTAACTAGTTTGTGCAGTCACAAACGGTGAGAGAAGTGTGCAGCTCCCAATGGGTTCGTACTATCAAGATCTGAGAAACAGACAGCGAGCAGAGTAAGATTTGTCAGGGCAGCCATGACCAAGCGGTGAAGATCACCATCTACAGCCTTCTCACAAACTCAGACCAGATGAGGTCGCTTCAGCATGGCAATATTCTTCTTGGTCAGGAACTGTCAGATGCTCAGGGCATTTTAAGCTTCCACGTTGTGATGGTGAAACTCTCGCCCACATCGGAGGGGGAAACTCACAGCTTGTAGTTTGGGTTTGAAATACTGGTATCTTTTGTGACAATCGTCCTGGAACTTTTTTGACACACCTTGTGCAAGTTTCAACTAAATTGGGGGGACTGGGGACTACCCAGTGGGGTCTGTTATCCGCAGAGAAATGTGACCTCGGTTTTGACTTAGGCTTCGATGACCTGAATGCAGAAGTAACTTGGAGTCCAGCATAAAGTGGGTAGCTGGTGGAGTCAAGTCACAGTGGCTCCTTTGCAGATGTGCGGTCATAGTCAGGTACTTACTATCCTCTGAAGGCCATACAGAATTTGTTGAGTAGAAGTGCAAGAGATAACGAACCATCCCATAATGACTCTGCTACCATTTGCCATTGTGCAATTTGTCATAGGGAAAAGAAGAATAAAAGACAGGCTGACAGAGAAGGAAACATTGGAGGGAGTCAAGCAAGCGGTGTAGTCGGTTTGGACTTTTCCATCACATTTTTGAAGGGAAAAGCCACTCGAACACATGCTAAATCTATCATCCCAAAAAAAGTCATTTGTGTGATGTTTGTCTCTGTTTTTTTTTTATTTACTTATTTCTTTTTAAAACACATGCAACGTTGTATCTTTCCCTTCCAAGAGTCCTCCTGCTGCTTTTCTCTGTCTTTCTAGTGGTTCCAGCTGGTGTTACAGATCATGATTCTTAGCGAAAGTGTTGTTCTGGAAGTTGGGTCTTTTCTGCACCATCTATTCTAACTCCATTCAACCCCCCCCCCCCCCACCCCCCGTCCTTAACACCGCAAGCTGTCAGCGGTGTCACAACATGACGGGGCTGCGACACCACTGAATCTGGCATCACTTTGTCACCCTGATACACTTAAGCATTGGTTGCACTGTGCTCCGGCTCGGCAAAGACATGCTGTCAAGTGAGGAAAGGCCATTATCTGCAATAGACACAAAAGTACAGGGGATCCCTGCAGACAGAGAGATGATTAAGGGCTAAGTGTCATTCTTCCCGTCTTGCCGGCTCTTTAAAAAAAAAAAAAAAAACCCTCTATTTCTTACTGTCCTTTTTACTGCGGAGCCTGCGACTGATAGTCCTATCATCGCACGCCCGTGAGGAAGGGACACGGGCCTTGAAAACCACGCCTGGCCATTCAACCATCACCACTCCAAACAACGAGAGAGGACAGAACTCAGTAGGATTTAAACACACGCAGCAGGGAATAAATGATGACGGGCATGAGTGGGATTCGGCTGTGAAATATTTGAGGAATGTCCACGCAGGGATTGGACACTTTTGGTGCAGGCGGGGAGCAACACAATATGGCTAAGCTTCGTAGACATGAATCTGGCTACGGGTGTGTGATTTCGAGGTGACAGTCGCAATAGCGGATCAGAGATAGTCTAGTCGGACACTCTGCAGACTTGATTCCCCAGTCGATGATTGTAAATGGGGAACGGTTATGTGATTGGCTGGCGTCCAATCCTGAATGTCTGTGAGGACAAATGTCAGCATCTTTGTGGTCCATCAAAGGGTAAACAGAAAATGGATCGTGGGAGTATGACATGGTTGATGGAAGGCAAGATTGAACTTATGCAAAATAAAATCAATCAATCAATCAATCAATAAAAACACAGCCCTGGCATTGCCTACTTTACTTGTAACCCTCCCTGTAACTGAGAAGTCATTGTTTCTCATATGATCCACAGTCATGGCTTCATAAAATAAAAAAATAAAAACATATCCTTGCGCATCACACATAATAAAAGCAGGATCAAGTGGAAGTAAAAAGCATGATTTGCATTTGCTAGCTAACAGCTGAGAAGTGGTTGTCACCGACACTGTTTTGCAGATTGGTTGCATTCAAATCGTATCTACAAAGCTCACTGTCACAAAAATATGCCTTAATTTTTCACAATTGTAAATAGCCTTTGTTCTTGCCTGTATTATGAATGCGTTGAGCAAGATTCTGGATATTTAAGCATTTTATTTCATGAAATCACGACTGAGGATCGTGTGATAGGCAATAACTTGTCAGCCATGTTGGTTCTCGGCTCGATGTGAAGACAATGAATTAGGTTAACATTTAAATATTTTGAAGTTAATGAACTGCAAAAAGATCATTAAAGTTTCATTAATTGCACCTTATCTACCCTTGGAGGTAAGTATCTGTCCGCTATGCCCAACGGTCAGTCCAGTCCTGATTGTATGTCGGTGAGAAAGTCTAGGTAATTGACTGGAGACCAATCCAGGGTTTCTTTCGCGACCAAAGTTACCCGTAATAGATTCCAGTGTCTCCCGTGGCCCTGAAAATGGAAGTATAGATGGATGCTAGTGCACGGGTACTCAACTGTTTCGATTCCTGCTTAGTGAGTTCAGGTTGAAATGGATTTCTATATTTATGCCCTACGAGACCGGCGACTATTTCAGGGTGTCTTTCACCCTCGATCAACTGGCAAACTGGTCGAAAATGGATGGATGGAAAAACCAATCCCAGTCTGTTCTATTATCTAGATTTCTTGGGATTTCAAATAGAGTCCACTTTTCCCCCGATCTACTGAATGTTTATCCAACTAAAAATGCTACAAGAGTTTTGCCTCGGGGACTTTCAGTGGCAGCCAAACGCGGGGTTGGGTTTTCAAT